GGTCCCGGCGGGTTACAACAACAATATAGGGTGATGAGCGATTGTTAGGATGTTTCGTTTGTCGAGAGAGAACTCTACATCCCAATTTTTTAGTAATAATGCTAACACTATCTAATACAAAAAAGTATTCCAGGTTTTGACAATGCATAGATGGAAGGAAGTGAATGTAAGAATAATTATTTCGCCATCGTTACTGTGATACATTCTACATTTCACACATCTTCAGCAACTCTATAAGAGAGTGATAAGTATGTGAGATTTTGAGCTTGACAAAGCTTCAAATTGCATTCATGCCATCAACAAAGGCAAGGGCTTTAGGAGCTGTAGGAAGCGCAGAGTCAATATCAGATCGTGTTTAAAGTTTAATCATAACGACAACAACCACTCCATTTAATAAGTGAAGTCGCCAGTGCTCTTGTTACAGCAGGGAAGTATTCATAAAAAATATTACGAGTAAGCATACGTTCAATTAGACTTTGTAGACATATTTTATTCTCAAAACAAAACAATTATAGTCTCTACCACATTTATATTTTTTGTGTCCATATGATATATATGAATGTATACATGCTTATGCACATGTAAATATGTAAAAACATTTTGCATTTTTACATAAAATTTGGGTTGAAATATCTTCATTTTTACAAAAACATAAATTGCCTCTAGTAAAACGTAAATCTGACTTTGGTACATTCACTTATTTCGTTTGTCGGTTTTTTTAATATACAGATATAGATACAATTTTGTCCTTTGGCTATGTTGATTTTTATCATCCAAAATCAATGTAGTCACATTTTTTACAGGTCACAAATCTGCACCAAATTTATTGTCCGGGCGACCAAAAAACTGCCCATTTATTTTCTATTAAAACAATTTTTTACTCTTCGTGCTACAAATTGAAATTGTTTAATTAATGATTTAATTGTTTAATGTTAAAATTGTTTGCCTCGGTTTTATCAGATACCCTATAAATATATAAAAAAAGTGAGACAGCCTCCGGAAATTGCTTTTTAGGTCGATAGATCCGAGGTACTTATTCTATACTGCCTTGGATAAGATTTGTTTGTCTGGAAATGTCAGAGAGAGAGTAAAAGTATTAATTTATCGCTATTACAGATATGCTTTTATAGTACAATGATCCTGACGAAGAGTACATAAAAGAGATAGATAGATTAATTAGATCATTTGAGACAATAACTATTAAGTTGTCTGT